TGCATGATGGGTACAGCTAGTGCGCGTGACGCATACTTCAATGAATTTGAGAAATGAAAAATATATGAAATGACATTACTACCTTGGTTGTTATTACTATTATTATTACACAAGGGTATTTTAGTCTTTATATCACTTCTTTTCTTCTCAATTCTAATAATTCTATTTCTCCGTACCAAACAACGTAATTTGAATTCCTACTTTGTTCTCACCGAATTACAATTCTCTTCCTTCCTCCCCCTAATTCCTTCCTTCCAACCAAACGCCTTGTAAATCTAAATTATTTGATAATAATACAAAATAATTTTGTAATTTCATTACTCAAATATACTTTCAAATAATATAATTTATGTACACAAATAACGTACTTTTTATTTGTGGTCACTACTACAGAATTCACATACAACGTCGGCAATTTAACGTCGGCTATATACATAGCCGACGTTAAAAACATTTAATTTTTTTTTTTAAATTATTAACTTTATAACGTCGGCTATTACCAAATAGCCGACGTTAAAAATAAAAAATAATAATACAAAAGAAATATATAACCTACGACGTCGGCTATTAATATAGCCGTCGTCGTAGGTTATATATTATTTTTAAAAAAAAAATAAATTATATATAACGTCGGCTAAGTTAATTTAGCCGACGTTATATACTAAAAAAAAAAATTAAATATGATAAGACGTCGGCTAACTATCTAACCGACGTTGTATTGTTTTTAATTTATTTTTTTAATTTTTTTTTTTACTTTATAACGTCGGCTATTTAATTTAGCCGACGTTATAAAGTTTTTTATAATAAAAGATTTGAGGCAGATCGATCGACGCCATACCACCACCGCTCTCTTCCATCCATCTACTCCCCACCCCACCGCGCTTCTTCTCACCGCCGGCCTCACCGTCTCAGACCGCCGCCGTCCTCGCCGCCGACCTCCACGCTGACGTCGTCCACCCGCATACGTCGACGCCGCCGCCACAGTTCACATCGCCGACGCCCTTTCCTCCGACTGCTTCCGCCACCGTCCGCGACAGCTTCTCCGCACATCGCCGGCTCCGATTGCTTCCGCCACCGTCCGCGACCGCCTCTCCGATCCGCACATCGCCGGCTCCGACTGCTTCCGCCACCGTCCGCGACAACCTCTCCGATCCGCACATTGCCAGGTAATTTTTTTTTAATTATTATTAATTTATTCGAATTTTAATAAATATAATTATAATTTAGGGTTTGTTTTTATTATATTTGTTTTTATTATTGATTTATTTCGAATTTTTGTAAATGTATATGCATTTTAGGGTTTATTTGTGTTATATTTGTTTTTATTATTGAATAACTGAGGCATTAGGTCTAGTATTGTAAGTTTCTGTGTTGGTGATACTTTTATTATTGAATAACTGATATTTTTAAGCTTTAGGAAAAGGATACAAGGTTAGGAATTTGCAGTTCTGTTTTGTTTTAAGTTGAACAAGTGTTTTTTCTATTTTGTCTTTTTATTGCAAAAATGCAGTTATAATTCAAGTAAAGAGGAACTTTCTCTTTTGAATCTCAGAATCTCTCATCACTACTCCCCAACAATAGCACATGGCTTAAAAAGCTACTTTGGTCATGCAAAACGTCGTCAAAGCCAGTCTACACCACAAGTGAAAGATATGATTCAGACAGCAGTTGCTGAGGCGTTAGCGGTTGCCCGAGAGGAATATAAAACATCCTTGCAAGCAGCCATTCGAGAGATGAGGGATGAAATTAGTAGTATGAGGACTCCAGCGGCTCAACCTGTACCATCAAGGCAGGAGGAAGACATGCGTGTAGCTGTCCAACCACATGGTCAAAGTGAAAAAGCAAGCTCTCCAGACCCTTTTGCTGATTTACCGGCCGTAAGTAATCATTTATAACTAATCTTATTATTTATTAAAAACATTTTACCTATTTCTTAATATGAATTCATGCAGTTAGGAGCCGGATGTGAATTGTTTTTGGAAGATCCCATTAGACGTAAAGTTGCACGTGGGATAGTTTACAAGGCCGAAAGGGTTCACGGGATACAAATACATGCGGATCAAGTGAAGGTCACCGTGACTGAAATTCTCGTGTCAAGTGCAAGTGTACCCTTCCCTACCGATGAGGTTCAACTGTTAAGGGATGCATTGCACAACTTTATTATTTGGCCAAAGAAGTTGGTTGAGTTGTATACCGAAGGTGATGAGGTATGTATTTTAAAAAATTTTGGATTTTAAAATAGTGTTTAATTTACTTTTTAAAAATAGTAATTGTTAGTTATATTGAACAGGTACAAAAGACTTATGATTCCGGTGTGCAACGACCTTTTGCTGATCTGAATATAGCTGATCCGTCTTCTTTGAGTCCTCGATGTCTAAAGGTATATAGAATTATTCGCAAACTTGATGAAAATGTTGTGATAAAGATGGAGCGTGGTATTGTGGGCGATGTTGACTATCGCTTACAACTTGACCCGTTAGAGATTATGCGTTTCTTAAGGATGGAGACGTTAGATGTTTCCATATTGCAGTTCTTTATAAGGTAATAATTAAGTTCTTTACTTATATTTGTTTATATAATATTTTTCATTCATTTATTATATTACTGATATATATGATTGATTGTATTTTTGAATAGGGGTCTTTATGACAAATTTGAATTAGCATCAAAGACCACATATGGCTTCTTAGATCCGCATTTCATTCAACCAGTTTCAAATACTATAGATGAACGGACAGGGTATATCAACGTCACCATGCAATATGGCCAAAAACAATGCTATCTAGCGCCATATATTTTAAAGTAAGTTTTAATTGTTTAAAATAAAATAACTTATATATAATACACTTTTATTATATATTATATTTACTTACAACTAATATATTATTGATTTGTAGTGATCATTGGATGTTGATGGCAATTTGTCCTCAACTTAATGAAATCTATTGGTTTGATTCAATTGGAGGCCAGCCACGTGATGACATCAAAGATATTGTTGAAAAGTATGTGAACTTATAAGTATTAATATGTATAATTAGTAAAGTATAAAGTATTTATGTAAACTAATCTCTTATAATTTTAGGTGTGTCAATTCAGCAAAGTTGTTGAGAAGCAATGGATCAACTCGTTCACCAAAATGGACTAAGGTTTTGGTGAGTATTTTATACATTTGTAAAACTACATATATTTTATTGTTTTTTATTAAATAAAATTTTAAATGTAATTTAATTCAAATGTAGTGTGCTCAACAAGTTGGAAGTACGGCATGTGGATATTATGTGATGAAATACATGCTTGAAATTCTTTCCAAAGAAGCATGGGAATGGATAAGGCATGTAATTTAATATAATACCTTTCTTTTTCTAATTTTAAAAATGCTAGCTTACTAATTATTTAATAATTATCAACTTTGTAGATTGTTGAGAGAGTTGGTAGATCGAGCTACACTCAACAAGAAATTGATCAAGTAAGAGATGTATGGGCCGACTTCTTTGTTGATGTATTGTTAAGTATGTAAATTAAACAAATTGATATTAGCTTTTGATAATGTTAAGTTGTATTATTAATTAGTATCAAATTGTGAGATTCATTACTTTTATTACTTGTTTCATTATAAATATTAGATTCTACATATTTTGCTGTGGTTGTGGTGCAATAATTGAGCAGGTTTTGGTTGTGGTTGTGCAAATTGAGCAGGTTGTGGTTGTGGTTGTGATTGTGGTTGTGGTTGTGGTTGTGAGAAATTGAGCAGGTTTAGGTTGTGGTTGTGGTTGTGGTTGTGAGTAGATTTGAGCAGGTTTTTGGGTATAAATGGACAAATAAACTGTATATTAAAAAAAAAAAAAAAAAAAAACTTACAACGTCGGCTATTAAGTAATAGCCGACGTTGAATATATTTTAAAAAAAAAATAAAGTTTACAACGTCGGCTAATAGCATTTAGCCGACGTTGTAGGTATTTTAAAAATAATTAAAATACTTACAACGTCGGCTAATTGCTAATAGCCGACGTTGTAGGTGTTTTAATTATTTTTAAAATACCTACAACGTCGGCTAAATGCTATTAGCCGACGTTGTAAGTATTTTAATTATTTTTTAAAATACCATACAACGTCGGCTAAATGCTATTAGCCGACGTTGTAAACTTTATTTATTTATTTTTTTAAAATAATATATAACGTTGGCTATATAAATAGCCGACGTTATAGATAATATTTACAACGTCGCCCGCAACAACTACGGATCATAGCCGACGTTAAAAGGTCTATTTAGCCGACGTTAAATGCCTGCTGTGTAGTAGTGGGTGTAACATTGGACTCAGGCCCCAACCCTTTTCCACTTTTGTTCGGGTTGTTATATCGTGGACTGCGGTGCACGATAAAAAACGGCGCCGTTATAGTTAACGAGTGTGTATTTTTTGTGTATTAATTACCAACTGAAACTACAGTGTATCTAAATTGACACTGTCTCACGTATTATTTTTATATTATCAAGTGAAACTGCAATTGAAATGAAATTAAACTGTAGTTGTGTTGAAACAAAACTGCAGTGTATACAAAATGAAACTGAATAACAATTTCACATATTTGAGTGTATATTACCCAGCGAAACTGTAGTTATATCAAAATGATATTGTAGTTGTGTTGAAATGAAACTTTAGTGTAAATAATATGAAACTGAATTACATTTTACATATTTGAGTGTATATTGTGCAATGAAGGTGTAGTTATATTGAAATGATCATGTTGTTGTGCTTTAATGAAACTATAGTGTATATAAAATAAAATTAAATAACATTTTCACATATTTGAGTGTATAAATATCAAATGAAACTGTAGTCTGACACTGCAGTATATACAAAATGAAACTGAATAATAACTTTACTTTTTGCGAAACAGCGCAGAATGACGCGAAAAGAGTATTGTTTCTTAACTGGGTGCATAATCGATTATGGATAATTTGCCCTTTTGTTCTCCATCAGTCCGTCAAATCCTTTTACTCGGCCCAGACCACGGCGGTTCCCGGCCCATCGGAGTCACAACGTTATCACCTCCACTTCCCGATTCTCCGGTCTGCTACGTCGTATATCACCGTGCACCTCTGCCTGCCTACTCCGTACGTGTCTGTACCACCCTCCGTAACAACCTTTGTTTCCATCACGAACACTTTGTTTTGGGTTGCTAATTTATTTCATATTTATCTTCCGAAATCAGTTTCTGGTTTTTCTTTTAGCCATCGCAATTGAAGAATGGCGGCATCTGCAATCAGAGCAGGTGCTTTGGTGACTCTACAAGAGCTGAATCCTTCATCGCCCTTCTTTAAGCAAGGGGCATCACTCAGAGTCACTGGAAAGTGGGTCATCTCCCTCCCATTTTTCTCATCAACATTTTCTTTTTCTTTTTCCTCATTTATTACAATTGATTGTTTGAACTCAAGATTTGATTTTTCGGTTCAAGTCATAATGTTAAGAACTTTGCATTTGGTGGCATAATGGTGGGTTAGTAATCAAACTTCACCTAAATTATTGTCTGTTCAAGCTGATGCTAATGGAAAGGGAAATGGAAATGCAAAACCCTAAACCCTATTTAGGGTTTAGTAATCAATTCAAACTTCAAAGGGAAAGGGAAATGCAAAAGCAAATGCTAATGGATAGTAATTGTGTGGTTTCATGTCTCTAAATTATTACTCATTTGCCAATGACCTTGTGGTCTAGTGGTGTGAAGTGACTCTCCAAAGGGCGGTATTGACTCTGTGTGCTTCAATAGGTTGAGAAAATAGCTATGAACAGATACTATATTGTAACAGAGTCACTAGTACTCAAAAAAAAATTATTACTGATTTAATGAGCTGCGATTAAGGAAGAAGTAGTTCTATTGTGAAGTTGGGTATGCTGTTAAATTTATTGGAAATTAAGGGTTGACATTTTGCTTTATCCATTCTAGGCTTGAAGAGTATAATGTGGAGACAGATTCTGCAGTAATTTCCAATGGGAATGCTTCGTTAAGGATTGACACAGAGCGCTTGAATATCAGCATTCGCCCTGGCTCCATCTACCAGTTCATTGGAGAACTGCATATTGGACCCAGTGATGAGGTATGAGAATGTGCACCTTGCTTGTTTCTTAGAATGCAGAACATGAATTTCTAGTGCTTCTTGTTTGTAGACACCACATTAAACATAACTATTAATCTCCCATATCTGTTTTCACCTTCCACAAGGAGAATGTAATCATGGTCATTGCCCCCGGCTCTTGATGCATGGCAAATTCAGGTATTCTTGCTAGCCACTGCAGAGTTTGTGGGTTTGACACAATATTTGGGCATAGTTTATAAGTGCGAGTTAATACACAATTTAGTCCTCGACTATAGTGGTTTTTTATGGATTTAGTTCTAAATGACTTTCTGCTTAATTAGGTCCTCCACTTTGATGGTTTTTCCCAATTGAGTCCTTTGTTAAGATAGCTTGGTAATTTCACCTCTATTTTAGTCACTATTACCCAAGTTAGTCTTTGACTATAGTGATTTTTATCCAATTTAGTCATTGATTATAGTGGTTTTTCTTGATTTTAATAGCCGTGGACTCAATTGGATAAAACCATTGAAGTGGAGGAACTAATCAAGCACAAAAAGTGGTTTAGGACTAAGTCGAGAAAAACCACTATAGTCGAGGACTAAACTGAGTATTAACACTTTATAGTGCTTATGTGACAATTAGCATACTCTAAATTCATGTTACCTGATCTCTTATTCTAGCTGTAACAACAGTGTTGAGTTGGGCCCTTGGTAGGGCTATTAGGGCCAGTATCCATGCTGCTGCAGTGTGATCCATAATCATGATTTTGTCTATAATTTTCAGGCGATCTTGAAGGCACGAGTAGGGAGAAATGTGGATGGCATGGACCTCAATCTCTATCATCAGTCACTGCAACTCTTGAGAAACTTTGTAGATGAACAAACTAATAGCCGCACAGAATAGAGTAGACGGAGTAGTATTCTTCTTACTAAGTAAATGATGAAAATGTGGCTCAAAGGCCTAGTAATGGTGACAAGTATCATTTCATTTCGTGCTTTCTAGAAATCAGGTAGATGTCTTGCTTAAAAAACAATGGCTTTTCAGAAACAGATTGTCAATTTTCGTTAGGCTCGTGGATGTTTTTAAGTTGAATGGATGCTAGATGATATATCAGAAACAATTGTAGAAGTATGAGGGAGTCATGCAAAACCTGTGTAGTACAGCAAGGGAGTAAGGAAGCTTTGCCATTTGGGGCCCGCACGGGCTTAGTTTACTGATTCAGTAGGGAGTATTTGACTATTTGGGAGAAGAGACCAAGATTCGAATCTCGACAGCAGCAGTGTGGGGATTATGCCCAAAGTGGGTAGATCCCTTGTGCGCGGCATTTGGCCCTGTCGAGCCATTAAGTTACCGTGATTTACATCTTCTCAAAAATGCTCTATCGGGCCAGGGTGTGGGAAGTCCTTGGAGTTGAGAATTCAACCTTTTGGGAGAAGCTTTGCCATTTGGATTCACTTCACAAGGTTGGACTGTATGGCTTTACTGGTAATACTTCTTTTTTTTTTTTTTTTTTTCTTTCTGGCATCCTTGTTCATACTAACATGATATTTGTATTTCTGACTTTCTGAGTATGCTGGCAATATCCAACTAAATATTAAGGAATTGGCCATTGTGCCAATTGCCACCACATAAGGGGACTGTGTGTAGGGCCTCCCAAGTCCCCATCAAATATTTCTTGAATTGATCTTGATTATTGACAAAATACTAGAATAGCCTTGGCACTTTGACTGAAAAGACCCTATTTCTGGAGGGCTTTAAAGGTCAATTCACTTGTCACCAAAATGTGGCATTGATGCATACTCAACTGGGACATTCCAATAGGCGGGGGTGAGGTTGAGTGAAAGGAATTCACCCATCCCTAACCAAACGTCAATGGATTGATCCTTGACCTTGGACATGGAGTAGTTTTAAATCGTCAGGTCAGTTATCCCACCTTTTAGAGGTGCTTACAATTCAGTGAGAGGATTAACCACTGTGCTGGACAGTAAATACCCTATGTTACACCAAAAAAAACAAAAAAACAAAAAAACAAGTACATTCCAATTGTTGTGTGGTGATAATCTTTTGTTTTGGTACTTAAAAGTTAAGACCATACTTCTTTAAATGGCCCTTTTCCCCAAGGGTCACTTCTTATTTTGGATGTCTCCACTCATTTTTGGAATCTTAGAAAAACATATGTTAATACATGAATAATGCAAGTTGGTAACCTTTTGATTGATGTTCATTTGTTCTTTTTCTCTTCATGTTGTTTGAGATAGGGAGGGACAGCTTGACTACCTCCCCATCCAAGGTGTGGTGTTCACTGTTGAGGGACACATTATAGTATTTGTTATTTATATCATTCACTTAATGATGAATTTTTCATATCATGATTTATGATATGCAATTATTACATTGAACTTCAACTAATTTGGAGTTAACTAATGTTAGGCTTCATTTAAGAGAAGATGTCTTTGCACTTATTCTATTCATAAGATTAAAACAAAATAGTTTATTTAGAGGGAATATTTAACTGGTTCAAACTAAAAAGGTTAATAGACTGCTCTGACTAAGTGTTGAATTTGAAACTTTTTGGTTACTAATAGAGCATATTTTTTTCACTCCTATAAAATTAATTTATCTATGAAGCATCGCACTCCTCGGTCGCCCGGGGATGCCTAGTGCCTAGGCACCATTTAAAAAAAAAATTATTTATTTTTTAAGACTTGATAATTATAAACTATTTAATACTTTAATGGTAAATACTAAAATATTAAATATTAACTTAAAAAACATATAGAATGGTAGATTTTATACAAAAAATTAAAGAATCAAAACACAATTTCATAAAGTCACAACTCACAAAGTATTAACTTAGTTCTAAACTTTCAAATCAATTTATAGAATCACAGAGAAACGATGTCGTTTTGACTTTTGAGCGTTTTGAACAATTTAGGATTATTTCACTCAAAACAACGTCATTTTAATCGAAATAACCTATTTTTAAAAAATGCAGAGAAGAATGGCTAATCGGCTGACTAGATGGTCTAGTTGGCCACCTATAATACTAATTTCGGTGATAATTTAGGTGGTCGACCGCGCCGAGGCGCGATTTTTGCAACCATGCTATGGAGTAGGTGCAAATTTATGGAATTAACCTCTTGCTTATGGCATGTTAGGCTAATCTTCTCATCAACTTGGTCAGCCTGCAAACTATCATATGTAAATGCCTACGTAATACACAGCAAGAAACAAAAATGTTTCCATCACACAATTTAAACAACTAATCATATACTAATAGTAATGATGCAAGGCCAAATTTAGTACCATTCTAACGTTGTTCCAACTAATATATTGTTTAATTAGTCCGGATGTCAAATTGTCAATTATCGTTAGCTCTGAGTTTAAACAATATTTATATATAATAATAATATTCTACTGCATGATAATATTAATAATTCACATTGTATAAAATATTTTGTTCAACTGCTCTTCCGATAGCCTAATGGAATTAGGCATTGTTTTGAGCCATCAAAATATTTTATTTTACTTTGAAGAACGTCATAATCCAAATTATAAGGATTAATTTAATAATAATCATACTTTAAGTATCATAATGGACAGCTATTAACAATGCCTGGTCACGATAAACTTGATATCTTAAACTATGTGCACCTTCAATGTTGACCCTGACCTTAACAATAAACAAATTACAAGTTTTTTTCAATGGTAAGCAAACATGGTTTCAGGGAGGTGCTTTCTCTAAATTTACTATGATTTCAATCATTTACTTTGCTTTTAAATGATGATGATGATCATCATCATATATTATCATGTAAGAAGATGAATATTTGGATTTGAAATTAAGAGAGAAATATATCATCACTAGTTGTAAAGATTCGCTTAGGGGCAATATATGTCACATTTGAAAATTGAGGGGCTATATTTACACCACTGATAATTCAGGGGTGACATTGATAATTGACATATTTGTGAGGGGCATAAATAACAATTTTCCCTAGATCAAATAATACACTTTTAGTAATAAAATAATATATATTCAAAAATGATCATTTAGTGTATTAAAAATGTATCTTTAGTATAAAAAAAGAAAGTGCACCTTATGTCAGTGTTTATCTTATTAGGTAAACTATGATCCATGATATAATGATTGGTTTGATAGTTCGGTGTCACATTTTTATGAAAATTGTTAAGAGATGTTATATTAAATTATAGTTTGAACTTGGAAAAATAAGATCAATTATGAACCTTTAAAGTTCATCAATACAATATTAATTGGATTTGAATTAAATAGAGTTAATACTTGATTTAGTCTCTTGAATTTTAGAATTTTCCCACTTTGATCCTCAACTTTCAAATTTACTTAATTTCATCTCTAGTTATGCAATTGTTAACCAAAATGGTCTTAATTAGGACTATTTTGGTTTGAACAAAGGACAATTTTAAGTAAAAGTTGTATATTTGGTGATGAAATTGAGCAAATTTAAAAGTCGATGATCAAAATGTTGAAATCTTAATAGTCGAGGGATCAAATCGGGTATTAACTCAATTAAATATTTATATCATATAAAGTTTCTTATTTGCAATTAAATATTCGTCAAGTATGAATAATTAAATTAAGTGTTTTTTTTTTCCTAAACCAGTGTCTCTATGTTAATTGATGCTCCTAGGAATTGAAAGAAAATAAAGGTAAAAGAAATCAATTCAAGTGCGATTGTCTAAAATGCCCATGTCTTCCTTCGGATTTGATGATGATTTCAAAGGGCTCTTTCGTAATTTGGAAAACAACGTAGGCCTTGCATTGGACCAGCACATATATATACATTAATAATGCTGCGGCCATAGATGTATGATGAACAAGAATGGAGAGCTTGGCTGATGCTTCCAAATCTTCTTTAAAGTACTGCCAACCTAGCCGGAGTTTCATCGGAGCACTGCCGGAAAACACCTTTTTCCGATGGCTTTCCCCCGGCTCATGATCTGAACAACTCACATAACTTTGTTGGCTAAACAAGGTTTGCAGTCTCTGTCCATTTTCTCCCATCTCCCATCATTATTATGTAATTGTGTTAATTAGGCCCAAACTTATGATTATTATTTATTATGAATAATAATACATAATTGTTGTGCGGAGGTCCGTAAAAGTCAAGTCTAAGCAACTGGAGGAGGTCTGGAGCACCCGGTAGCCGGAGATTGTTGGGCTAAGACCGGTAAAGGACTTAACAAGGTTAAGTCCAACACTCATCACATCTCGAAAATGTGATGATAGTCTATAAGGAAATAAAGTTACACATTCACTGTCACTAGTTATAGCTTTTGATGTAAGTGGCAAGTGTTTGATCTAACAAGTGATATCAGAACCAGGTCTTGAAATGACTTTAAGAAGTTAAAACTTTTTGTGCAATTCATAGTCTATAACATATAGGAAGTTACAGTTCAATAATCTGATTAAATATGTGTTTAAACTCTAAAAGAAACATATATAATTGGTTGTTTATCTGTTCTTTTAGATTGTTTGTTCAGATTAATTACTCAGTTTTGTACATGTGACCTCCCTCCCTTGTAGGAGTAAAGCAAGATTAGAGCAGAGAAAATGGTTCAGTTCTCTTCTCTTTTCAATGGTTTTGCGAAAACAATTTCGAAAAAGAGTGGGAGGAAAAACAGCAGAGAAGATGTTGGGAGAGAAGCTGCAAATGCACTTGCTAAGGAAGCAAGAAAGAATGAGCTAATCCTCTCCACTTCTGGCTTTGTGAATGCCATTTCCTCTCACAATTGCGCTTCCCTGCATTCCAGACAAGGCAAGAAGGGAGCCAATCAAGATCGCGCCATTGTGTGGGAGGTATATATATATATACATATATATGTAACATAAATTCCCATCCTATGATGTTCTGTTACTTCTGCTGTATTTTATGTATGTTATGAATCTTATCTTATAAACTAAGATTGGGCTAGGGTCACTCAACTGGGCTATAATGCCACCTTATAAATTCTCTTGTATTAAGTGAATGTTTTGTGGTTGTACTAATAATAAAACAGGAGTTTGGGGGGCAAGAGGACATGATTTTCTGCGGGGTGTTTGATGGGCATGGTCCCTGGGGGCATCTTGTAGC